GAAACCTCGTGGAATCTGCTTTATCGCATTCCTGCTATCGGAACTATCCGAACTATATCTTGTCAAAAGTGTCACTGCCTCTGAGCTGGTCGACTGCACAACAAGTGACGGGCCCAAGCTGGGTTGGTTAGAGATCACAGCTAACAGTCCAGTGTGGGCGACTGATCGTTACTTTGCGCTTGTTGTTCAAGGATCTTCGAAACTGCTGCTTCGCCATGAAGACATTTCGTATAGTACGGCCAGCGATCTCCATTCTGGCTGTTCTGAGTCAACTACGACTATCCGCTGCGACCCCGCTGGAACTCGAAGAGGCCAGTCTCGAGAAGCGCTGTGCGAACCCTTGCGGCTATTACGGCCAGCTATGCTGCACATCAAGCCAGACCTGTGGTACCAATAGTAAAGGACAAGCAGTTTGTTTGGACTCATCGAGCGGCAGCGGCGGGACCTGGGAATACTACACCACTACCTACGTTATCACCGAGACGGATACCCAGACGATTACTTCTACGTGGAGTAGCCTGATAGCTACCGCAACGAGCTCGACCAGTTGCAGAGCCGACCTCGGCGAAACGGCTTGCGGCAGTACATGCTGTGGTGCTGCGTATGTCTGCGCCAACGATCAGTGCATTGTGGGAAGTTCATCGATATGGGCAACAGCCACTGCGACGCCTCCAGTACGGGGAACGAGCCAGTCGACTCTGACTCAGACCGCATCTGCGACGACCACACAAGGTTTCATTCCACCTGTGGGAACAGACGGCGCAACTTTGATCGGAGTCCATGCTGCCGGAGGAGGACTGAGCGGTGGCGCGATTGCGGGCATAGTCATCGGCGTAATTGCTGGCGTTTTCCTTTTGCTCCTGCTATGCGCCTGTCTGTGTTGCAAGGGAGCTCTAGACGCCCTGTTCGCCTGCCTTTGTCCTGGTAGAAGGAAGAGAAAGGATACGACGTACGTCGAAGAGCGATACCATCATCATGCGCATGGAAGCAAACCCGAAGGGCGTACCTGGTTTGGTACTCGGCCAGCCGCCTCAGAAAGAGGCGAAAAGAAGTCCAGATGGGGAAGTCTGGCGACCATTGGCATTATTCTCGGCGCCCTTGCGCTGTGTCTAGGCTTGAGGAGGCGCAAGGATCAAGACGAGAAGAGTGATTACACTTACCCGAGCTCTTACTATTATTACTCCGACTACTACACCAGCGCAAGTATGTCTCCTTCGATCCTCCAAATTGACCGTCAGTAGCTAACCGTCTGCGTTGTAGGTAGCGAAAGCTCGGATAGGCGAACGAGAGACACGAGACGGTCCAGAAGATCTCGCACACGCTCACGACGATCATGATTTAATGACTTGCTCCAAATGACCCGACGACATTTTCGAACATGAATCCTCCGTCTCCCTGCGAATGACTGAACTTTCTCAAGGAGCTTCCCGAACAATGGATAATGCATGGATCGGCGCTGGCCTTGTATTTTATAATTATGCTTGCTCTTTTTCCTTTGGTGTCTCCATTTGCGATTTCTGAGACGGACATGTGTGACAATTATCTTCGTGTGATTACTTTTTACCTTTATGACCCTGACGGATTGGACGAGAAAAATGATGTAAATATGAGCAACGAATGCGAACGACCCGAGTTATACGGCAATAACGAAGCCCAGCAATCCAACGGATCCTGACCAGTGCAGGGTTATTTGACCTGCCACGCAAATAAGATGCTATAGATTTTGTCTTGGGACAGAGACATCCAAGCATCATGAGCTGGAAGCTGAAGAGGGCCTCTGGACGCAGGTACCCTTGTCGCCTAAGTTATGTTTTCATGCATTCTGATTCAAGATTGCCAAGGGGCAAATTGAATTCCTGATGCCCCAACTTGGCGAGGGTGAGAGCAAGGGTCTTTATAGTCATGCACCTGCCGGACTAACTCGTGCGCCCTTCAGTGTAACCTGCAACTCGGTACTTTATTTAGTTAGGTTATGTATAGTAGGAATGCAAGCTCTCGAAGCAGCTTCTGAATGGGCTTAAAGAACAGCTATTGATGGTAGATATGAAGCCAGCAGAAAGAGAGAGATGAGAAGTGAAGAGTTCTTGATCTTATTTTGCAGAGGAAAGCCAAGATTCATACCAGTAGTACTAGTGGAGGCTCCACAACACACAAGACCCGACCCTTCTTCTTCTTCAAAGTCGCAAACCAACTAAACCGCCTAAACTCAACTTGCGCGCTCCCCGCCCGCCTCCCGAAGTCCGAACTTCCCTCTTCAATAACTCTCCCTCTCTGTCTATCACTCCGACTTCTGCTCTCTATACTTCATATTCACAACCTCTGCCAGTCACGCTACATCTGACTCCTGTCAGCAGAGATTTATCCATGAATTACACTTCCGAGTTTCCTGCTTGACAATCTGAACTAACCTATCCTCGCGACGCTTCACCGTCCGATCCCCATCTCCATTAGTCGCTCAGGGTACTACTCACGGTTAATCCCCTGAGGCTTAACAGTCTCCCATCCTCCGTCGGCCCGCCATGCTTCAGACACAGTCTCAGCACGTCTTTTCCCACCAGCATCAGTATCCGCAGGCTGATCCTTCTTGGCTGCAGCATCAGCAACAGCAACAACAGCAACAGCAACAGCAACAGCACCATCCGGCCCAGCCCCATCCCCACCAAGCCCAACAGCAGCATTCGTCGTTGGTGGCTCAACATGCTCAAGTTCAGGCTGCTGCCGCCGCAGCGGCTGCCGCTCAACAGCATCATTATAATCGCATCGCTATGACTGGAAACGGTGGTGCTGGGAACGCAGCGCAAGGTGCCGGTGCCGGAGCCTTGAATGGAGAAAGCGCTCTGTCCGGTGCGGTGTCGGTCATGGATGGTGGCATCAGCGATGAGAACAGAAAGGTCTTCATTTGGGTTGCAGAGCTGCTTGATCCGAATCGTCGGGAGGCGGCCCTGATGGAACTCAGCAAGAAGAGAGAGCAGGTTCCCGAGTTGGCGCTGGTCATCTGGCATTCATTTGGTATGACTTCAGACTTTCACCCGTGATTCTGCGGAGTTGATTACTTGAACGCTCAGCACTAACGTTCTCTCGAAGGAGTCATGACTGCTCTACTCCAGGAAATTATCTCCGTTTATCCCCTGCTCAACCCTTCCCAGTTGACCGCTGCGGCGTCGAATCGAGTTTGCAATGCGCTGGCTTTGTTACAATGTGTTGCCTCTCACAACGAGACTCGCACTCTTTTTTTGAACGGTATTTCCTCACTCTTGATTTACTTGCATGCACTGAGACAGCATTGCTGATGACTACTTCGCCTTCCAGCTCATATCCCTCTTTTTCTTTACCCATTTCTCAATACAACTTCGAAGTCCCGACCTTTTGAATACCTGCGCCTTACTTCACTGGGAGTCATCGGGGCGTTGGTGAAGAATGATTCGTCCGATGTGATCAACTTCCTCCTAACGACCGAGATCATCCCTCTGTGCCTTCGCATTATGGAGACAGGTTCGGAGCTTAGCAAAACCGTCGCCATTTTCATTGTACAGAAAATTCTTCTTGACGATATCGGTCTTGCATACATTTGCGCTACATACGAACGTTTTTACGCTGTGGGAACGGTTCTGAGCAATATGGTGACCCAGCTTGTGGAGCAACAGACTGTGAGATTGCTGAAACATGTTGTCCGCTGCTTCCTTCGGTAAGTCCAGACCTCTGAGTTTCGACATGCTCGCAATAGCCTGCCGATTGGATTTCATGTGCTAACATCGCATTAGTCTCAGTGACAACAGCAGGGCTCGTGAAGCTCTACGCCAGTGCCTCCCCGAACCGCTTCGCGACGCCACCTTCTCCTCTGTCCTCCGCGACGATGCGGCCACGAAGCGCTGCCTTGCACAGCTTCTTATCAATCTCTCTGATAATGTTTCCGACGGCGCTCCGGGAGTCACCATGTAGGCGACAAAAAGTATCCTTCATCATCTAATATGCTTGGTATATTTGCCACCTTACGACATGCATGGGACGGTTTCTAGGCGAAGACGGATTACACGGCGCAAATAGTGTTCAAAATTGCGATTTCTACACATTGAAACAGGAAAAGCAAAGAGGAGGACATGATCGACGAGACCATGGTTTCGATTCAAGAAAAGCTCTATTTCCTTTTTTTCTTCGTGATCATCTGAGTTGGTTTCATTTCGGTGACTTGGTGCTTGAGTGATCATTTGTGTTCGAGTGTATCAATTCTCTGGTTCCATTTCGTCCCCTTCATTGTTCTTGCCTTCTTGTACGGGTTCTGTCATCTGTCCTTTTTCATCTGCTGATCTTTCATTGCAATGGTACAAGGCTGCTCGGTGGCGTGGATATGGTTGGGTGCTATCTTCTCTTTTGCGCATTTTCCTTCTCTTCATTCATGATTCCTTTACCAATCCGTATACCATTGAGATAGACCCTCTTTTGAGCAAGAGATACCAATATATAAGTTTTTGTTCATGATGGATGCTGTGGAACTGTTTTCTCGCGAGACTGCATATCTCGCGAGATATGCAGTTAAGAAGTGTTGAGATCTCATCAATGTTTGCCCTGGGATTTTGTCAAACACTGTGGTCAATACATCTTTTCTTTATAAAAGTGTTTTAATTCCGTTCTAATATACACCTTCCCGGTTTCCTAGGAACTTGACTCTCGATCTACCGTGGAGTGCCTTATCGGGTGTAATTAGTCTGGACCACAATCACCTGACGGCGTCCCCTGTTTCGACGCGCCTCCCTCTGAGCTCATCACTGTCTCGCGCCCTGGAAAAACTTCCGCCGTGTCTGCCCGCCGCCCTTCCAACCAAGGACATTTACAACACTTTACTGATTATGGACTGAAGTCATTAATATTCATCCAACAGCACTTGTCTCGCAGATACAATTCTCTAATCTAGGCAAAGATCAGGTTGTCCCACCCATTGAACCCTGCGCCTTCTTGGATTCTCATCTGCGCTACGGCGCCTTGAATGGTCTCGAACCGCCTCCATGGTATCGCGAAAGCGCACCCGCTCCGAGGTGGACGCAGCTCCGGAGCAGCCATCTGAAGAAGATGGCTTGCTGAGCCGTCTTCGGAGTTGCTGGGAATTTGCGAACCTCATGCAGTATATCGCGATTTTTGGTAAAGTCATGAAGATTGACGAAGACTTTGGAATTGATGTGAGTGTTATCCTTACTATGATCCTGCGCAGCTCCATATAGCGCAAGCGACAGTTTCATGCTATCTGTCGCCCTTCTTTCTTGCAAAAGCTGATTATTGTCTTCCCTCCCTTGCTAGGATTTGGAGACCGAATGCCTCAAACCTGAACCATCGGAAAAGCTTATGGAGATTGGACTCTGTCTTCTCAAATGGGTCTCGTCGCATCGTGGTCTTACGTATGTGAACGGTCTCTTATCATTCTCTATGTCGCCTCGGCTGACGGAAGGTCTTGAATCTAGGTTCGAGAACTTCGACGAATATACGCGACGCCAATACAATGCCAAAGCTCCCCATCTGCCCAACCCCTTCGGTTACGACGAGGTCCCGAACAAATTCTTGGAGTTTGACGTATTTCTAAAGCTTCGTGTTCTCCATCAGCTGTCTGTTTGGACTTTTTGGAACCCCGATCGCGTCCGCGAAAAGATGCCAGAGCAGAAAGAGATTGACCAAACACAATGGGTGGGTATCCTCCCGTCATTAGCTGTCTATCTTGCTCTTCCACAGAAATGCTGATACGTTGCAGCGCATTGAAGAATTAGGATATGACCGTGAAGGCCGCTACTATTACGTTCTAGACGACAACCGGTTGTACCGTCGTACCGATCCTGATATCCCTCCTCCAAAGCCTGCCAAGTCGAAGCCGAAGAGTCGAAGCGCCAGAGCATCACGGGCCTCCAAGCGACGAAAAGTCTCAGGCACGGCGCCCATTGAAGAGTTCGATGAAGACACTGACAATGTCGACGACGGCGTTGCTATGGATCCCTTCAAAGGGATGAAGTGGGAATGTATCGCCATCACATTGGAGGACTATCACCGCTTCTTGGACCCGATTCGCAAGACCAAAGATCCCGACGAGAAGATACTGCGGGATAGGATCGTGGAGCACGTGCTGCCGGTCATCGAGAAGGAGGAAGAAGCTCTGCAGCGGAAGCGAGCCAAGCGTGAGAAGGAGCTCCTGAACATGCAGTTGCTTGCAGGCGCTAAACGGTCGGGTCGGCTCGCTCAGAAGGCCGAGAGGGAGCGACAGGAGCGAGAGGCAGCCGAAGCAGCTCGGAAGTACGAGGCGGATTTGGCTGCGGCGCGCAAGGAAGAGGAAAGGCTGAGCAAGATGGAGGAAGAACGACGCACTCGGATGATGACGCGTGAGCAGCGCATCAAAGAGCGCGAACGAAAGCGTCTGCTACATGAAGCTGAACTCCGGAGAATCGCAGAAGAACAGGAGAGACTCGAAAGGGGTGAGAGCAGATTGTCTGAAAGGCAGCTCAAGGCTGAAATGGAGAAGCAGAGGAAAAACTTGGAGGAGCTTCAATCAGATGATCAGTGGATTTTTGACTGTTCAGGTTGTGGAGTTCATGGGGAAAATCTGGTATGGAATGGCCTGATGACAGTCATTTGTATCAGCCGTAACTTGCTAACAAGGAAACAGGATGATGGCTCACATAGCGTAGCGTGCGAAAGGTGCAATGTGTGGCAGCATAGCAAGTGTCTAGGTATTGCGCAGGATGATGCCGAGCGCGAAGATTTCCACTTCGTCTGTCAGGACTGCAAGCGACGAGAGGAAGAGGCGAAGCTGCCGAAAATCCCACCATTGAAGTTCAAAATCGGTTCCTCACCACCGTCCACTACTTTGGCAACCCACCATCATCAAGGGTCAGAAGAAACGAATACCGCACAAATGGGTTCTCCTTCAAAGCCATCGAAGGTACAGCCACACGCGCCATCTTCAAATTCAACTCAGGCAGCGGCTATTGTGCCATCATCGCCTGAACGTCGCCCCCAGCACGTTACCCACGAACAGTCAGCTCCGGTTAGCGACTCTCGGCCTCCGTCATCGCCGATGAAGGGCATGAATGGCTTTGCACCTTCTTCCCAGGGACTGCCTTCCAAGCTGCCTTCCATCTCACAAGCTACCAACCTCCCTCCTATCAGTCGAGGCACCTTTGGTGGCAGTTCTTTCCATTCTGGACGGCCATCGTCTGCCCACTCAGCTCAGAGCCCGAATCTTCCCTCTCCTATCCAGAACCGTCCCTCAATGTCTCCCACCCAGGGCAATCATGATGTTGGTCCGCTTGCGGGATTCCCAACTTCAGGTCCCTCGGATGGCTCAGCTCCCTGGACGCCCTTTGGACAACATCGGGCTTCGCGGCCCGACGCTGGCAATAATGCCTCCTTTTCTTCGATCCACAGCGGTCGGCCATCTTTCTCAGCGGCAACTCCTAGTGGCAGCAGGTCCTCGCCCCCGCAGAGCTCGCATGGCGTACCACTTTCTGGCATTAGCCCAACCAAACAGTCTCCCCGACCCATGACCTCGGGCAGCCTTGTCGGGGCCCCAATCCTGCCTCCAATTCAAAGACTGGAGCCAAGCCCGAAATTGATGGGCAGAAGTTCGCCCGACGCGCCCATTCCACCACCAGTGAAATCTATGACTCCTGAACAGGAAGAGCGTCGGCAAAGGGAGAATGCTATGATGTTCCAGTCTCAATCGCACGCCCTGTCTAATGGCCAGTATTCCGCCATGTCATCGCCATCGCTCAATCGTATAACCCATTTAGGCCCATCAGCTCTTAGTCGGAACACCGAACCGCAGTGATAGGCCGCTTGGTAGGACAGAAACAAACGGCGCATTGGAATCAGGACGCTTATTCTTTGTCGGTTCGAGGTTTGACATTGCATTTAGATATCAGATTTCGTACCACTTACTACACTGCACCATGGCCGAAGTGTACTTCTTTTCTGGATCTTTTCGACAAGCAAATAATCTTCTTGATTTCCTGAAACGATACGGTCAGACCTGTCGGTTGAAGAATTGATGTTCCTCTAGGGTTTGCGATGGTGGATTGGTGGAGATTTACTAAATTTTGGCTCTGTTATTCTCCTGATGGGCGAATACTGTGAGGCCGGAAACATCTCCCCCAGCAAATGGACATTATCCAACACCTGCAAACGGACACGTCTATCCTTCATTCGACAACTACCTGCGGATCGTCAATCTTAGTCTGCAAGGTTAATCGAATGTCTGAAATATCTGAAGATTGCAGACTACTTTCGGACGGCTTCGAAATTACGCATCGGTCGGTCGGTCGGTGAGCAACAAAGCTTTTTCAGCTTTTTCTTCACAGCCATGTCACTGTTTCAATTGATCGTTTCTCATGTCGTACGCTGGATACATTATCATTGTCTGGTCTGGACCAGATGGGTTTCTCGAATTACATCCACGGAGTTTTACCATATTGCAAAATCAAAGGCGTTGCACTGGGCTGATCGACGAGTTTATAGAGGTTGACGGATCGGATGGATTTTTCTGTATGTTCGCAATAGATGTGGTAATGGTTTCAGTCTCAAGGCAGAAAATGAACATGCATCCATGACCACTCTCTTCAATTACGCTTGAATACTATCGATCACTAGACCTCTCCAGAGATTCCATTGCCTGGTTGCCTCAAGCGAAGCCCGAATGAATCCGAAACCCCCATCGGGCCAGCTGCATACCTGTCTCAGATACAATCAGAGGGATCCCCAGTAAACTATGGTATGGATGGACAGACACGGTGACACCGCATGCCATCCACACAATAGTACAGTACTAACCAACCGGTTCACACGCATCTTCGCCCCTGCATTAAGAGCAGCCTACAAATCAATCGATATACCAGTCGACTATAGCGCAGGGCCAACCCCATTCTTGGGGACGAGAAGGCTGCATGCGCAGCTGCAGCTAAGGCGATAGACAATAGCAAAGACCAAAGTACGGGGGGTCTACTCCGCAGTAGCAAACAGCTACGGATAATGAGACCCTGTCGTCCACCCGCTGTGCTGGGAGAAAAGGGTAGGGCCTGACAAGAATTGATTGGGGTGAACTGGATGGAGCATTTCAAACCAGACAGGATGGTTTGTTCTTGTCGGATAGGATAATCGCCTTATTTTGTGCTTGAGCTAGCTAAGGTCGCTCCTCGTTAGTTAGGAAGGGAAGGCAAGCAGGCCCTGATGCTTGGCCTGTGGTAACTGAGTGCGAGTGATGCACTCTGTACACAGCGCTGTGATATGTTGCTCTGCTTTTGATGACTTTTGGTACTCTGTTTATGTAAATACCTGGTTAAGGCATGTAGTCCTTGGTCTAGACTTGTATGGTCTAATTCTGTGGACTGTGTCTGCGTGTTTCCCCTGAATTGGCGGCCCAAGATAAGAGTCCCTTTCTAATAAGATGGTTCCGCAGTGAGGAGGGAGGAAATTGACTAGTTATTGGTTTAGTATATCGACTCTAGTACGGTGCACGCGGCACAGTGCACACGGGATAATCATTTGCATGCTAGTTATGGCAGATTGACAGCCTGGTGGCTGCTGGTCTAGGAGGAGGTACTTTTGTCCCGTCTTTGCTTTTTCTTCTCTTCATGTTCATTTGCCCCCTGGATGAGACCAGGATACGGAGTACAGGCAAAATCCCAACAGATGCAGATTGGATAGAAACACATGGTGACGAACAAGCGTCTAGTACAACAACTAATAGAAGTACGTATGAAGTATTTAGCAGATGCCCTCCTCACTGGCGATAGCTAACGCTCACCTGAGGAATTCCAAATCAATTTACGGAGTATGCTTGGTCGAATTTCTTAAATGTAACGTCGGCTGTCGGCTTCGCTCGGTAAAAGCCCGAGCTCCCCTTGACTCCATGAGTCCTATCTCGTATTATGGGCATGATGGGTTAGAGCAAGAGTACGGATACGACTCGGCTATATAATCCAAGGAGGGACTAGTGAAGCAAGACGAGACGACGAGGGCGGGTGATGGCCGTGATGCAGCTCAAGATCGAAACGATAGTCTGGACTCAGAAATCTGACAGCCTCGTTCTCAGATCATGACTCGGGGAATGACACTCGAGAATGGTTCCCGGAATCCCGTCAAGCTAGTCAAGCACGCACAACGTAGATAGTTGATAGTTGATAGTTGATAGTCGATTGTAGTAGACGGGAGAGATCGGTCTATTTCGAATTGAGTAAGTGTAAATGTCGACATAGGCAAGGGGTCAAGAGTGCTAAACTGGCCTAGCAGCATGAACGGCTTCGACTCTAGGTTTGTAAGTGTGATCAAGTCCCACACTCTACCGCCGAGGCTTCTATCTCATGCACATGTCTGGCTGTAATCAGAAGAATGATATCAGCAGTATCCAATGTATTGTGGATAGATTGGAAGGACTGTACGGGTACGGAGTACTCCGTTGTACAAATTGGAGGTTGTACTTTGTACTAAGCAATCAACATGGTCCAGGCCAAGTGTCTCCAAGTGGGGTCGCGGATCGATTCCGCTGGACACTAGAGACCGGAGTACGGAATAGGGAGAGTGGAGGACCTTTTAAGTTGGGCCGTGGGCGACTTGGCAGTTGGCACTAGCAGCAGGAAATATCTCGAATTCGCATTAGCCGAGGGAATGACGGTCGAATTCCATCGTCGTCAATATTCGATACATTAACGATTGCTGTAGCTAGTGTAGCCATGGTGGATGATAAGTGCCGCAGCTGATCGAAAGTACCACTCAAATTATCAAAATACAGAGGATCTGGCATATCGAGCAATTTAGGTATGCGGGTCTCGACTTTCCCCGAACCGTCTTTACTTGTCTGTGGAGTTTTGTGTACTCCGTAGGGCGTAGACTCGATGCACATTGGACAGTGGTACTGGTATTTGTATTTCAATTCCACTTTGACATTTTAAAGCTGTGGAACCCGATTCTATCCGTCCACTCAAGGCGCTTGTTCGGACCGGATGCAAAGACAAATTACTTACAAATACCTATCAATGACGCCGCCGATCGTTGGCCATTGACCACTGACAAGCAACTATTGAGTACTGAAGGTGGTGATACTCAGAACTTATTTGGTCAGTTATCTGTCACTTAACAGTCAAGGTTACTTTGGCCACTGAAGGCTTCCCATAGAGCTTACTTGCTCCTAAAGTTACTGAAGCATGCATCGTCACATCTGCCTCATACCTGAGAATCAGTCCTAGACTCATAAGTCATGACATTCTCAGGTGCAGAGTCACATACACCTCACAAACTTGGATCTTCGAACTAGACCGTCCGACTCATTTGGACGATGTCTCGGCATCTACGCCGTAGATTAAGCTCGTAAGCTGGTCAGCAGGGTCGGGAATGAATATCCATTGTAGCTTAGCGTGGCTGTCGGAAATGTCAGGATTCGCCTGTCGACACACCTGCATATGCAAAGTACATCATGACGATGATCGCACCCAAGCAGAGCGCACAGACCGCGGAGATCCTTGTGCTATAAGATAGTGTTTATAGGAAGATACTCCCTAATGTACCATGTATCACACCCTTACCAGTACCTAGGACTGATGGGTCTGGCCACAGGCACATGACTCGAAAATAATGGTAGGTAATTAAGTGATGACACTGCGTGGAACGGTCTCAGATGCCACGCGTAGGGATTAGACTCAAGCTTTGCAAATTTGTCACACTTTCCAGCCTTTCCCCTTGTGTTCTGTGTGTCGGATAAGCCGATGGATTTTTTACCTATCTGGGCCATTCTCATCAACTAGATCGTAGATGCCTTAATTTACAGGCCAAGATCGCTACACTCAAGAACTCCGCATAGCTGAAGGGCTAAACTGAGCGTTTCTTGAGTCCAAAAACCTGTACAGTCCATTACTAGAGATTGTACTCAACAGAGCTGTAAGGAGTAACTCTATACAACCTCATTAAGGTATCACTTGCCTCATGCCGCTAGACGCGCGGATATGAACCATGATACTGTAAAGGGAGATAGCTGACGTGAGCCATACCCCACCTACACATTCAATGTCCAATGAGAGAATTGTACCTTAGCAGGATTATGGATAACTCTGAAGCTGGCAGGTGACTTTGTATTCTGATCTCCCTAATCATCCCAACTCTATCCTCAGGCTCAATGAGTCTGGCCTCATCCTCATGTTTGACTTCGATACTGTCCACGAGAGTGACAAAGCATTTTCTCCTGTTTAAGGTTGGATAAGAAGCCATGTATTTTTTGTCAAACCCTATCAGATTTAGACCCAAGCGATAGGATCGCCATAGCATTGTCCATACATTCAAGGTAGGACTACCTCTGCGCCGTGGACTCTCACAGCTGGCACAGCGGGTAGACGTGAGAGCAGGGAAAACATCCTCGAACTATCCGGAGTGGTGTACCACCACTCGAGGTGAATCGCTCGAGTTCTTGTTTGCCTCGCCGCCACTCAACGAGACAACTTAGGCGCAATCACACCGCAATATTGTAGGAAAGTTCGCCCCGAGACGCAGGCTGTATGGCCAATGTCACCAATCATGTTGGTCAGCACTCTGTTGGTTACTCAACTACCTTATCCGCACCCGTCCCTTGCGAATTACATTTTTTCTTTCTTTTCCTCTGATAACCCAAAATACCTCGTGGCATAAGGCTCGAAACTTAGGTTCGAGTCTACTCTGGCGCTTTGGCTCTTGTTGTGGTGGCTTCCCCTCCACAACCTCATGTTTCTGGGAGGCCACGTTTTTGTTGATCGCAGCCACCCTGCACCTTATTTCCAATCGAGCCATGAATAGCGAAAGTCGGGAAGGTCT